CTGTATAATTGCTTGAGTTCCTTGTATATTATGCACATTAATGCCTTGTCGGATATATAGTTAGCAAAAATTTTCTCTCACTCTGTCGGTTGTCATTTCACTCTGTTGATTGTTTCCTTTGCTGTGCAGAAGCTTTTCAGTTTGATATAGTCCCATTTGTTTATTTTTTCTTTTGTTGCTTGTGCTTTCAGTCTCATGTTCATAAAATCTGTACCCAGACCTAGTTCCTGAAGTGTTTCACCTATATTTTCCCTTAGTAATTTTACAGTCTCAGGTCTCATACTTAAGTCTTTAATCTATTTTGAATTTATTTTAGTATATGGAGAGAGACACATGTCTAGTTTCATTCTTCTGCATATGGATATCAAAGTTTCCCAACACCATTTATTGAAGAGGCACTCTTTTCACAAATGTAGATTTTTGTTCCTTTTGTCAAATATCAGATGGCTGTAAGCCTGAGGAGTGATTTCTGGGTTCTCTATTATGCTCCACTGGTCTGAGTGTCTATTTTTATGCCAGTGCCATGCTGTTTTGGTTACTTTAGCTTTGTAGTATAATTGGAAGTTAGGTAGTGTTATGCCTCTGGCTTTATGTTTTTTGCTCATTATTGCTTTGGATATTCAGGGTCTTTTTCTATTCCATGTGAATGTTGAGATTGCTTTTTCCATTTCTGTGAAGAATGTCATTGGTATTTTGATGGGAATTGCATTGAATCTGTAGATTGTTTTGGGTAGTATAGATATTTTCACAATGTTAATTCTTACAATCCAAGAACATAGAATGTCTTTCCATTGTTTTGTGTCTTCTTTAATTTCTTTCAATAGTGGTTTGTAGTTCTCATTATAGAGATCTTTCACCTCTTTGGTTAAATTGATTCCTAAGTATTTTATTTTTTGTGTGACTGTTGTAAATGGGCTTACTTTCTTGATTTCACTTTCTGTTAGCTCATTGTTGGAGAATATAAATGCAACTGATTTGGGGGCATTTATTTTCATCAGCAGATCTTTAGAAAGTGCCTATTCTGAACATAGCAGTTACCTGATAACCTAATCTACACTAAAGTTTTTATAGGAGGAAGAAAAAAAAAGATCATGTCTGACTCCTACAGCTATTTACTTTTGAACTGGAATTTTTCTAGTCTAGAGATATGCTATATTATGGGCTGAGTTGTGTTCTCTCTCCTGCCCCCCCAAATTCATATGTTGAAGTCCTAACACCCAGTACCTCAGAATGTGACTGTATTTGGAAAAAGCGTCTTTAAAGAGGTAATTAAGGTAAAAAGAGGTCATATGGATGGGCTCTAATCCAATATGACTGGTGTCCTTATAAGAAAAGGAGATTAGGACACAGACAGGTAGATAGGGTAGACCGTGTGAAGACACAGGGAGAAGGGGGCCAAGGAGAGAGCTTTCAAAATGAAACCAAACCTGCTGACACCTTAATCTTGGATTTCTAACCTCCAGAACTGTGAGAAAACAAATTTCTGTTGTTTAAGCCACACAGTCTGGGGTATGTTGTTATGGCAACCCAAGCAGACTAATACATGCCAGAACACAGATCCCAAGGGAAGGTCTGGGCAAAGTTGCTTCTGCAGAACAGAAGAGGTAAAGTGTTTTGTGTACTGGACTGCTTGGATTTTCCTTTTCATTATAACAATGCATGTTTTCCCATAATTTACATTTTGTTTTTCCTTATCTATTTAATTTTTTATATTATAAAAGGTTTTGCTTTCTGCAATATGGAAATTATAATTTAAAAGTCAAAATTTATTAAAAATGAGTTAATGGCTAATTATGTTCTTTACAATATTATATTTGAATTCTTTTAAATAGGAATTACCCCTAGGGAATTTAAAATAGCAATGCCATTTATAAAGTGTTTCCTTTTATGCACTTTCTAAAATGCTTGAGTTTTTTGAGCTATTATAAAATTGGTCAACATGACAAAAATTATCAGTGAAAAGGTTCAAATTCATGTCTGAAATTAGAATTTGATTATTAACTTCCCAGGATTCCCTAAAATAGCAAACGGCATGACAGCATTTAAAACCTACACTTTATTTAACAGAGTTTCAACTCACATGTTATTTTTTAGGGGTCTTCTAGTGAGCAGGAAAATACACTACCTGTATTTTTGGGAAATACATACACGGCTTTCATAAGTATTCAGTAATAGTCCACCATTAGGTAGTAAGTTTTATGAGGCGACTGGACTAAATCTAAATAGCTGAGCAGTGTGTTCCCAGCACCTTGCACAGCACCTGGCATTTAGCAGGTCATCAATACATAGCTGTCGGGCCGGCCCGGTGGCGCACTGCGCTAGTGCGCCGCTTGGGAAGCATGGAGGCGCTCCCGCCGAGGGTTCGGATCCCACATACAGACCGGTTCCCGCTCAGCCGCTCACTGGCTGAGCGAGGCGCCGGGGCAACGCCAAGGGTTGCGATCCCGTTGCCGGTCCCCGGTCCGGTACGGGGGCAACACTGAGGGTTGCAATCCGTTGCTGGACACGGAAAAAGACAAAAGACCAAAAAAAAAAAAAAAAAAAAAAAAAAAAAAAAAAAAAAAAAAAAAAAAAAAAAAAAAAAAAAAAAAAAAAAAAAAAAAAAAAAAAAAAAAAAAAAAAAAAAAAAAAAAAAAAAAAAAAAAAAAAAAAAAAAAAAAAAAAAAAAAAAAAAAAAAAAATACATAGCTGTCTAATGACTGAATTGATGAGCAAATGGAATTGATGGAGAATTTATATGTAAATCAAGCACATAATTCAAAGAGACTAAAAAGAGGCCCTCACCACAGCATACCCAATAACTCAGCAGTTAAACTGTGTTAGGAATCCAAATTATGTAAACCCAGGAGAAAGAACTTCAACACTTTATTGAGCAATCAAGACATGAGGCTTTTTATTTTGCAGGAAGACAAAGATTTTAATGGGCAGGGGAAGTAGGACAGATATTCCACCTAGGAGAGCTGTAAGACATTAGGTTTCAGGGAGGGTTGCTAGCAGCAGGAAACTCTTCCTCTGTATTTTTTGGGGGACCTCCAAAGAAAAATAGAAATACATGCAGAATTGGTATAGTGTGGGTATAGACAGTAAAATGATAAATAGGTACTTCTTATGAAGCCAGTTACATATTCACCAATATTCGCTGAGAAACAGAGCTTAGCAGGGGGCAGTTTACTCCCTCCAGGTCTCTGACCACAATGTCATTAAATGGCTTTAACCAATTGCTTAAGAAACAGAACAAGGGTCTGCATCCACAGCTTCATGACTGGAGTGATGACCAACTTTTAATATCATCAGGTCCACCTAGAAATGGCTGAGCCTTTCCCATATATACTCCAGAATCCTTCTGTCAAAAACCTCAAAGATGTGGGATGACTTTTCTCTTTGGGTTTACAAGCACATTGTGGCAACCCTGAACGTTAGTTTGAAGAAAGGGTCAAATGGAGTGGCTTGGGGATGGTGTGATTCTTCGATGTTGGCTACAACTGACATTTTTTGTGAAAATTTTTAAAAAGTTTGAATCAAACTGTGTTGAGTCACATGTAAAGTTAATTCTGTAGCTTGAAAACCATTTCAAATGTTTAGCATGTGAACTCATAGACATACACATATGGCATTTAAATGCCTAGGATGGTAATTTCACCTTATTTATTGAGGTAGACATTTGTCAACAGGACATGTTTCAGCAAGAGATTGCAAACAAGGAGGCATTTTTTTCTTGAGTTGTCAATTTTTTTCTCGCATTTTCTCCCATGCCTGTTTGTTGCCACAGCACAAGCCAACCCCACATTTCCCATATTGCGTGATCTCAAATCAACACTGACTTTTCCACCCAGTCCATGTTTGCTAGAAGTTAAAGGGACACAACATTACACACTTGGACTGGCTAATGAGTAAGTAGCAGGGGCCAATAATTTTCTAATTTATTAAGAAGCTGTGAAATCGATTCAAGTATATCATTTCCTGAGTCCAATTCAACCAATGTTAAGCTTTTAATTCTTTCATTTTTCATCATTTTCTGGACACCCAAGCTTATTCCCCAGGGCTATGCTAGAACTTGCTCACACAATTCCACTGGTAGTTAAGAAAGCAAAGTTTTTTGAGCTGGCTGCTCAATGATTTACCCCCAGTTCAGGCAGAATTGCAGCACAGTGAATTTTTATCATCCCAATAGGTTCGTCTCCCCTGATTCTCATAGACATCGCCATGAACTTCCTGTTCCTGGTCATAACCTACGTCAACTTCCTTGAATGGGTTCTTGTTTCCAGATCGTTCCTTTCTCTCTCTTCCTCTGAACACATTCTTTTCTTTCTGCAGAGGCAGCTCTTTCACCCCTGATTAAATCAACATACCGTCGAACACTCACTTCTCTCAGTTATTTCTCTCTCTCTCCAATTTTGCCTCATTTCTGGTCACCAGCCTGCAAGGCTGTTATGATTTCTTATTCAGTTTCTGGGAATCCTTGATTTCTCATTTATCATCTATTATAAAATAAGTTTCAGGAAAATTCCATCTCCTATTCGACAACATTTTGTTTTTTACCTAACCACGGGATAATGTAAATCTGTAACAGAGACATTTTCTCATATTTTCAAAAGTAATATTACAGATTTAAGAAAAGGCAGAATGCTAAAGTTTGCCAAGACTCCCACATGGAAATAAATGGTCCCCTATTCATCATCGTTTGTTATATATTTTATATCCTTCATGTACAAATCATAGTTCCATGCACATGATGGGTACTCAATTAATTATTCAATGCTTTTCTCAAATGCTTTCCCTCTGCTACTCCTAAATGTAGCGCCAGATTGTATAGATAGCCTTTGGTATCTGCAGAGAATATGCAGTCTCACCATGTCCCCCACGCGTCTCCACGGAGACCGAATTTCTGTGAATGGTGCTTACAGTGAGAAAATCTATAGGGAGAAGCTAAATTTCGCTCATTCTTTTGGTTCGGGTCCTTCTCTTCCTGACCCTTTTTTCTCTCGCATTTTCCATTGCAGGCTCTGTATTACAAGAATCTTGGCACACTTGACACAATAGAAAACCCCTGTGTTGGGATCACGGGACATTGTGTTTGTATCTTTTTGACTGCTCGATGAACACCAAACCGTGGAAATTGAAGCTGCTACAGGAAATGGGAAGGTAAAAGCCTAAATCTATTTTTGACAAATTCTAATTAAGGATCCCATCTTGAGGAGCTCAGAAACCTGGGGTTTAGGGAAAACAGTAATGAGGAAGGGAATTCCTACAGCAATTTTACATTTTTTAAATGCTAAATTGAAATGATAAGTCTTCACAGATCAACAAAATTGTCGAAGTTCTTTATTTTTGGCTGGAGCATTATCAACTTAGCAAATCCCTGTTCACCACAGTGTGCTGTTTAAGGCTCTATGGGATTGTTACTTTTGTTATTAAATAAGAAAAACAGAAAACATATTTATTACTATAGTAAAGAGGGAAATATTTGTGTGATATGAAGAGAAACCTGAAGAGGTAGTAAAAATTAATGCAATATGGAGTTTGCTTTGCAGATGTCATCTCTCAAAATTATATCCACTAACAAAAATAAAAGTAAAGGATCCTTGATGATTAAAAAAATTGAGAATAACTGCCCTACTTAATGCTTTGCTTATTTGTTGTTGGTTTGTGTGTTTTATTTTAATGCCCAAGCTTGCTGTAAGAGCAACAGATACACTGAAGTTATTTTCTGATACATTTTCATCCTGGCTATTTGTTTGTTCTGAACCTAAGAAGAGAAAGGAGATCTCAGGTCACTGGGTGAGGAATCACTTAGAACTGCCCTTGTTTGAAGACCCCATGCCAAGAACTTGAGGGGCAGGAGCATAAGTACCCAAGAGACTAAAACTAAAAATGTCAGGGCAGGGAATACTCCACAAAGGCCACTGGGGCTGCTGGCAGTTGTGACCTCGAGCATGGCACAAAGGCTATTCTTCAGCCCCACTACTACCCAGATTAAAGTCAGTTGAGCCTCCCCAGCAGGACTCTAAGCACTTTCTGGAAAGGAAAAGCAGCTTATTGGGGACTGAATGACCTTTTGGGATCAGCTTGGATAATACTAGGGCCAAGGACAGGGTCCCAAACCAACGATACCCTTCATTATCAGACTTTCTTCTTTCCTCTCACTAAAATATGTGCTAAGTTTGGGATATAGAGGATTTTTCCCCATTAAAAAGAAACCATCTCCATATTCAAAAATCATGCCACCAACAGTGACAGATAACTACAGGTAAGAGTGGCAAAAAATTCCTCCCTACCCACAACTGTCAGAATCAAGCTTCCTCCCACATTGTAGAAGTGGTAGAGGGAGCAGAGAGGAGTTTGGGGGAATATTCTTGCTATGCCATCCTCTTCGACGTTCTGAAGCAAATCTAATGAGTATGTCTTCCTCCTTCCTTCCAAGTTAGGCAGAAACAGAAGTCCAAATATTTCTTGTTCAGTAACAGGTCAGTAGCAGGTATGCCTGAGAGAGATACAGGCTCTGTTCCTAATGCAAAATTTAAAGCTGAGAAAACACTTTCTCAAAAGGTAGCAAAAGTATGTAAAGGAAACTGAAAAAGCCCTCACTCTGGCCATGTCCTGGCTTCAATAGTAACACAACCAGTTGGTGCAAAGGAACATGGTACTACTCACCATAATGATGAAAAGAAGAGTTTATGAACTGAATGATATGGACTCATTATATCCTGGAAAATGTCTGTCAACTCAGACAAGAACAATTCAAAGAAACATATGGAAAAATAGACCGGGACAAGCAGCAAAATATTATTCATTTTGCTGAAAGCTTCAGAGTATATTTCTAAAACGAAAGGATAACTTAACTTTGTTTAACTCCTACAGACAGAAGGTGATACCACATTTTCTCTGGGACACTATAAACAGCATAATTTTCTGTTACTTTTTAATTTTTTTACACAAGTCTTCATTTCTATACCAACTGGTTTTCAAGAATATAACAAAGACAGATTTTTCTCTGTTTTTACCTTTTTCTCCCCAGCTCTTTTATCTGCCTCTCCTGTCTCTCCACAGTTGGAAAGCAGAGGGTGGCAGTGAAGAGAATCAGTAAATTTCTCCTCCGAGGAGGGATCATGTCTTACATTTTTTTGTAAACACCATTGATTCGCATCATGTTTGGAAGATTTAGGCACTTGGAAAGTGTTTGTTATTAGTTCAATGGATGGATTGAGGGATGTATAAATGAACAACCATAACTCTGTATGTGTATATATATACATGCATATATTCACACAAATATATACACATCGTACCACCTAAAGGTCAGGGGAAGGGAATGGTGTTTGTTACACACTCAGAATATATCCTGTGCTGGTGTTTTCATATGTGATAACAGTCAATCCTCTTAATAACTCTGTGAGATAGTAGTATCATTATCTGCCTTTTGTAGATAAGCAGATACAATCCCAGAGAGATTACTAACCTGTCCAAAATCACATGAGTTAGAGTTAGGATTTAAGGTCAAGAGCTACTTTTCTCCAAACAGCGTAGCTTTTCCTCTATTTCCTCTCTAAACACAAAAGCAAAGTCTAAAGGTTAAATCACTAACGAATCAGGTCTAAGACTACTTAAAACTTTAAGTGGCCCTTCCTAATTTGTTAATTATTTATTGAACATTCACAGCGTACGAGGTGCAATGGTAATACAAAGGGCACAAGAAAGATAAATTTCTACTACCTTTCTCTATGGGCAGCTTAGACCTGATGTCAATGACCTGGATAACACAGATCAGTGCTACGGTTTGAATGTGTCCTCTCCAAAACTCAGGAGTTGCCAATGTAATGGTTTAGGAAGTGGGGTCTTTAAGAGGTGATTAGGCCATGGGGACACCTCCCTCATGAATAGGATTAAGGTCCTTAAAAAGAGGCTTCAGGCAGCATTCAGGGAGCTTGCCCTTCTGCCTCCTGCCATGTAAGGACACAGTGTCTCTACCCTCTGGAGGATGCAGGAGTAAGGCACCATCTTGGAAGCAAAGAACATCTCTCACCAGACTAGCAAACCTGCTGGTGCTGTGATCTTAGACTCCCCAGCCTCTAGAACAGTGAGGAAATAAATTTCTGTTCTTTATAAATTACCCACACTCAAGTATTCTGTTGTAGAAGCACAAACAAAGATAACACAATGTTCTGAGCGTAAGAGAAACTAAAGACCAGATCAGAGACCTTAATACCTACCTCTCTAGGGCACACAGGGGTCACAGACACTCACAGTTTGGGGGGAAGTGCCCACCCCTAGGTAAGGATCAGGATAGAGAATGGGGGAACTAGTTGGGGTGGGTCCACCTTCTGAAAAGGAGCTGAGCAGTTCCTGGGGGTGGGAATGACACTTCTCAGATATTCACCACAGAGTAGATGTACACCCCCCAATTGTGATCCTTCTGGGCCTCGAGGTGGCTTGCTGCTCAGCCGTGGATAATGGAGAAGGAAAGGCCTCCCAGAGGAAACAGCTCTTCCTCAGCTAACATTCACCTGGACGGTGGCCCAGGCCAGGCTGAGGAACAGAGGTGGAAGGAAAACCCATTTCAGACCCTTATTGGGCCACAAACTCAGAAGGCTACATGCCAAGCTACTAATTGTCAGCGTCCAGCCAACTCTTCCTGAAAGGGCACACACAAGGAAGACATTGTTCTCAGTCAGACCTAGCATCAGAAGAAAAAATTCTACAGCAAAACCATGGCCATGGCCAGACTTTCCCCCTTGTCGGAGATGCTGTGTTACCACACTAATATTCCCCCCTGGGTTTGGAGAATCTTATATCCCTCTCAACCCTGTCAAGAAGAAGTCCCAGCACGATATTTAATGTGTAGTTTCCTGGCTGTGAGTGAGATGTCCTCTTGTCTACCTCCCCAAACTGAGAGAAACTGTTACAGAGAAGTTTCCTAATGAAAACCTGAGGCAGACAGGAGGAAACAAATTTTTCAGGATTCATTCTTCTGAACTTCTGATTTTTCACAAGAAGCATGTATGATGTTGCAATAGTAATAAAAAGGAGGTCTAGAAGGAATGAGTTCACCCTGTCACATAAGACCATTATTATAAATGAGTTTAAAGGTATTAAACATAATGCATGTGTTTTATTGAGAGCTGACGGAAGTGGTACAATTTAATTGAGGATTTCCTGTGCCGTCTGGAGCTGAGAATAAGGGATTGTATTGTAGCCTCCCTCTCCTCTTTTCCCTTTCCCCCAGAGCCTAATATATCAATCAAATAAAATTAGTGTAATTAGGAAGCCAACAAAAGACAGAGGAGCTCTTCCTTTAAATTTTTCTAATGAAAAACTAAGTGCTATTATAAAGCAAACAAATTTATCTATTCGTTGAAATTAAATGAATACGATCATCGTAGCTTTAGGGAACTCAGATCATTTGAGATTCAGATTGTTCAAAATACAAATGGATTCTCAGAGAATGAACACAAGGTTTTGATTAAAGATGATCAGTGTTTCCTGCCGAGCCTGATAACTACTCCCAGGTATGTCATTCATTTTTCTGATGATGCCTGCTCCTGTCCCATCGCTCAGCCCAACTCACCTGCTTTCTACTCTGGGGGCAGGGGCTGGGAGTGGGTGACCACTACTGGGGTTGCAAAGGGGGGGTTCCTTTAATATCAGCCCCGGAGAATGTATAACCCTACTGGGGCTGTACAAAGTTTCTCTCCCTTAGGTCTATCATAAGCTCCAAGCGGCCAGCTCTGCTCTAGCTGGGCAGAGAGCAATCGCAGGAGAGCAGCGGGAACTGCAGGCGGTTGAGCAGTGAATGGAAGAGGAGGAAATGGATACAGTCAGGGAGAACTACTCCTTAAATACTCTTGGCAGCAGAGGAGAGCAGCAAAGGCGGCAGCAGCTTGAGAGGATGCCAAGTCATAGCAGGTCACTTGAGGTTGGGGATGAGCTTCGCATGTTGATAGCCTGAGGGAAACAGCCAGGGAAGATGGGGCCCTGTGGTTTTATGTTCATCCCGAATTTCCATTAAATTATTTTAGATTGCAAGATATTTGATCTGTTACTTATTGTAAGTTTATTTCAAGAACAAGAAATGTTTTTTAAGCGATAGCATGAGTGTAACAGGGGCTGGCCAGTTAGCTCAGTTGGTTAGAGCGTGGTGCTGGTAACACCAAGGCCCAGGGTTCGATCCTTGCACTGGCAGGCTATTAAAAAAAAATGCAAAAAAATAAATAAAAATAAAATAAAAAACAGAGTGAGTCTAACAGGTGGGAATTCCATGAGCCTCACTACCAGAATTGCAGGGGTTGGGGTCTCTATGGATGGAAAAGAAGATAAGCCCTGGCAGTCCCTCAGCGGCAAAAACACACCAATACTGAGCCTGTGTCGTTGAATATGATTTAAAAGCATTTTAAAGTAATAATGTACTTTTTCACATGCTTTCCCCCTATTACTGTTCAGTTCATATAAGGTACTTTCAAAAATGCTGTGTTTTTCTTAGAACACTATTCAGATATTGTCTTTTTCTGAAATAAATAAAGCAACATAAAGCTTCTTTATAAAATCTGAAATTCTCTTTGTTTCTCAATCACTGCTCTAAACAGATCACCATTTTGGAATGAAGTGTGGAAGAATTAGTAGCAAATAACTTCCTAACTAAATGCTGAGGGTACCAATTTTGAGAGTTCATAATGAGTGCTAACCAGTTGCTGAGGGATTTCCAACCTATCATGCCAGCTGGCTCACTTTAACAAGATATGGCCTTGGTGTCCTTGCAAGAGATATTAGCTAGTAGGAACTGAATCCTTGCCCTGAGCCAGGCTCTGGGATAGGTGCTTTATTCCACTCTGAGAAGTGTCATCAGGCCCATTTTATGAAGCAGGAATCAGAGGCACAGACAGGCTATGAAATTCACACAAATCACATGGCTGGCTGGTAAATGTCAGAGCAGGACCCAACCCCAGGTATGTCTGGCCACAAAGCCTGTACCCTTATCCATTAAGCTATAGCTCTTTCTTTCTACAGGAGGAAAAGGAAAGTTAAACTACCCAGGGTCATGCTGTACAACAGCACAGATGGGCTTGTTCTAGCAGGTCCCCTTTAAGATAATAACTCTGTACCAGTAAAGCCGCACTTGATTATCTTAGGACATTCTGGCCCAGCCTGGCTGGGACTAAAATCTGCTGAAACCTGCTCTTCATGTAACCTGATCACTCAAATACTTTTTTCCCCCTCTACCTCTAAAGCTTCATCTTGCAAGCATCCAAATGCAGCTAATCCAGAAAAAAATGAGACCTATGTTCTTTCCCACATCTGATTGTTTCAGTCTATTATTTCAACATCTTTGTAATCTTCTCCATTTAGGATATGAAATAGGACTTAGGATTAATGGATATTAATCCAGGTTACCTGATATGCTAAAATTTATCCTGCTTGATGTTTCAGATTCAAATTTGTGGAATTGGAAGTGGGTTGGCTTCATTGTGTTTCTACAATATGGTTGTTCAATAAAAAATTTAAATCTGCTTCTTTATTAAGTTGATCATGGCTCTCTTCTTTGCTCTGTACACTCAGCAAGAGATCCATGAGTGCCACTTAATGACAGTTCAGTAAAGATTTGTTGAATGAATGAGCAAAAGTATATCAGGTAAACTTTGGAACAACAGCGTATTCCAGCTGAAAGGATAATCTGAGACAATCTTGTACTTATAAATGCCAGAACTCTGCAAAATCTATTTTTTCCCTTGGAAGGAACAGAAGTGTAAATTGCCTTATATCATTTTTAATGTCATAAAATAGATAAGAACAAGAAATTTTTGCATATTCTGACAGAGCTGTGAAAATGGAATTTTTAGACTTTTGCTACCAGATTGGCTCTTGCTGAAAACATTTTCACAGTCTCCAGTCCTCACGTGCTTCTTCGTGCCGTCAGGCACAGAACAACTTTTTCATGAAAACAAAACACTTCCTAAGGAGTGTGCCCAGAAAGTCTAAAGAACTTTAAAGAAGCACCCTAAATCCTAATGTTCTGATGGTTTCACAACTCTTACACGGCTTCCAAGTTCTCCGGTCCCTAATTTGTTCTGGTGAGTTTTTGTTTGTTTTCACTCAGAGGGTTTTCTCAACCGGGCTCTGTAGCTCATGTCAGCAAAGAGAGACTCAAAAATATCCTTACCGTGTGCCAAGAAAGTGGTAACCACACACACACACACAAAATAGAGCAGTTCTACCGGCTTCTAACTCCATAGCATCGAGGCAGGTTACTTGTAGGTTAATGGAAGAAATTATAAGATAATTCTATTCTAGGTGGGAAAAGTGTTAGTTCAGTTATCTTAATTTGTGCATATATTAGCAAAGAGAGGACGAAAACAAAACAGGACTTGGTGGGTTTTGCTTCAGCCTGCTCTTGGTCATTTATGTGGAACATGTCTTATGAAAACAGCACTGGCAAAAATGTACCCACAAATATGTTTTGAGAAATAAGCTATAGAGTATGTACACACTGTGACACATAATTACTATGTGGGGAAGTCAAATCTGCGGAGAATGTTTTGCATTTATGAGGTAAGTGATCGGCCTATGCCTCTCCGTCTCTGCGACCTCTGCATTTATACCCCCAGCCGCCCTGCCCCCTCTCTCTGCTTACCCCTTTACTTTGGCAATGTTTTTATGGCATCTACCCTTCAGTCAGATCAGTAAAAAATTAGCCAAATAAGTCATTCATTTACTAATTCAACAACTATTTATTGAACCATTACTACGGCCTTGTGCTGTGTCCAGAGGAAAAAGGCACTCCATGAAGACTGAGGCCATGTAAGCCTCAGAGGAAACCAACCAAGTACAGCACAATGCAGTGCGGGATCGGAGGCCAGCAAAGGGCAGGAAGCTCCTTCTCAATAACAAATTAGGAAAATAAACAATTTGGGCCCTGAGTGTAAGTACTATGTAAGATTTCTCAGGTCTTATAATTTCACTGTATTTGTGTTTCTGTTTCCTTTTTATTTCTCCTCAGTAATGAACAAAACTTAATCATTTCTTTGTGATGTGTGCATTTGAGCTCCTTTCTTCTAGAGGTTTGGTTACATGCAGTAAAACATTGATTATAGAATTCTGGGTTGACTGTACACCAACAGGGCTGATTTTTCCTACCTCGCTGTACTTTTTGTGTCCATTCATCAGCCTTTCACTATCTGCCCCCATCCCCCCACCCCAAAATCCCACCATACAAAGGGAAGATGAATGTCAAAGAATTTGCAACATATTTTAAAACCATCATATATGGGTTGTGGCTAATGGTAAGTATCCTAACTATACATCATGCCATGGATAGGTCTAGCTAAGGATTAACATTCCTAATTACTGTTCCTTGAAATAATCTGCCTCAAGATATTTTTTCATATTCATACCTAGGACTTTGCCAAATCTTCTGAATAGGACTCTTGGTGTAAATGACCAAAAACCCAAGCAATATCTACTTAAGACAAGTGGGCATTTATTGGCTTATACAACCCAAAGACGTGTTCAACAACCAAATCCCAGCATTCTCAGTGATCCAGAGAAATAAGTGGAACCAGGAGCTTGAATACTGACAAGACTATCTTTTCCTGTCCTGTCTCTGCTGTTCTTGGTGTGTCGATCGCATTTTTTCTCACGTTAGAACACTTTCATACATGGTAGGAACTATGCCTACTGGCCCCTCCAACATTTATACTCCACAGCTTCTGACATGGGAGAGGCTCTTCCTCATATTCTCTTTGGTTACAAGTTCAGAACACTAAAGAAGAGCCTTGGTGACCCATCTTGGGGCCAGAGAAGGGTCAGGATCCTGTAACCTGGTAGCTCCTGGGGTTACCATAAGGTGGCGTTCAGAAGAAAAGGGTACCCTGGAGGAGTGGGGAGAGTGATGGAAAGACAAACACAGTTCTTTAAAGGATTTCTAGAAAAAGCACTGATATTGATAAGTATGAATACTAAAGGTAGAAACAGCATTTTATTTTCACGCACATTTCTGTATATCTCATTCCAAATTAAAATAGTGACGGAAACAACATTTATGTGGAAACCACACACTCTTTTGATGATACTCATTTGTGTGGCTGCCCACAGTCATAATTGGCATTAATGTTAATATATTTTAATTAGGACAACATGGTCAGTGGACGTGTTCTAAGTTTTCATTTGAACTCCCAAGGAAGCATTTAAGAACTGGATCTAACTTTTCATCAGTTATAAAATACAGTTTTCCACCTTGAGCCTTTCAGCAAAGCAGAGGACACTGGCAATATTTTCATCTATGACAGGTGGACACATTTGAACAGGTGGCAATGAACAAACTGGTAGCACCCAGCTTCCAAGAAGAGAAAACAATCAACCTTTTACAAAACAACAATTCTAGCAGTCGTGTGCGTGCGTGTGCGTGTGTGTGTGTGTGCATGTTTGTGAGAGAAAGAGAGAGAGAACCAAGAGATGCAACTCTAGAAAGTTGTACACATGCCAATACATCTATTTCTTTTTGAATTTTAAATAGTCAATATGACTATTCAGACAGTTTGAGAAAAATAAAGTCTATGAATGGTAGTTGCATAAACAAAAGTCATTAAAGAAACACACACACACACTTTACACTTTCTAAAATATACCTTATAAAATGCACACACACTGTGCACTTTCTTTATAAAACTATATTTACTTTTGACATTTGTCTTTTGGTGGCATTCTGCAGCTCTTGTTATGGCTTGGTTCACAAACATTGCCTCTTTAAGATAGTTACTGGTCACCACAGAGAAGAGTAGTAGCTGTTCTTTGATATCCTCTTCTTGTCAACTCGCCATAGCAAACAACTTTTTCTCACTCCTGGATCTCATATGAACTTCCCAACATCCCCTCTTTTGTCCTGACCTCTCCACAGGTTCTCCGGTGATTCCATTCACAGACCGATGCTACTCTGCCTTCATTCTATCTTGTACTGACATTTCAGCATCTATTTCTGGTCAACACTTCTGGTAAAGCAACAGTTATCCCTTACACACGTCTTCTCAGCAGACCTGGCTCCTCTGGCAGCCCACATGCCCGCTGCCTACTTCCTGGCTTGCTCCTCAGAGTCACTGGTGTGTACAGGACACAGAGCTTCCTTCAGCACTTTCCCTTC